TTCTTTCTGGAGATCTGCTATTTCTATTTAATTCGATTTTTAAGAATCTCATTTCGTATAGAAATTATTAGATGATTTATATCTTTATATGGTGTGAGCGAGAATCACAATTAACTAATTTCATATTTATCCTCAAAGTTGCTGGTTGTATCTTATTATGTACACGGGTGTAAATTGTAAATATTGCAGTTATTGGAGAAACTATCACATTTGCAGCTCCTGATGGTCAAACTTTTCTATCTAACGGGGAGTGGTAAAGACATTATAACTACTCCCTTCATTCAGCACAAAGTTTTAGAGTAGTGGTGGTGGCCAGGCGAGTATCTTTTTAGAGTTTCCTATTGATAGAAAGAAACCTTAGGAAAGAATGAAATGGAAGGAAAAGGGGTAAATATTATTTTAAAAGGTGGACCGTTTTCAAAGTAGGAAATCAAACACAAAATTGGAACAACTCAAAAGTGAAAGTAGAAACATGTATATGAAATAGTGGGATCTTGTTTTTGCTTGTTAAAGAATTATACATAAGCAGATAATCAATACTCTGTTTTATTTTATTTTATTTTATTTTAGGCACTAATCTGAATTTTCCAAAAAATTAGAACTCTGCTCTTTAACAAGTGACTGTTGAAAATGTTGTTTTTCAACCATAAAAAACTTAGGTTCCTGTCATTAGCTCCAATATACTTCTCCAGCATGCTACTTTATTGTCCATGGATCCACCAGCCCACCAATTAAAAATAAGCTTTGAGTTAATGCTTTGGCATCTGATTAACATATTCATTACATTGTGCACGCACGGCTGGTGTATGTGTATGCTCCTCAAACTATGTAACACATTAATTACAGTGTTGAAAGATAAAGTTAAGCAATTCTTAGTGGTTCCATTTCTTTAGGTATTTTTTAGGGTTTTCTTCTTCTGTTGGTAATGCAGCTTCCATCTTTTCCTGATAACAATGGTTCTACAGGATAAGGTATCTTCTTATTGCAAGAGTGTTACGCCTAATAAGGCTATCAATGCATGTCCGAAGTTATCGGGCCTTCGTTGCCACATTCTTTACTCTCATACCAAGTCTCATGCCATACTTGGGGACGATATTCTGTGTATTGTGCTTTTATTGCTCTCTTGGTGTACAGGTGCGCTCAACTTTCTACCAATATTTCTTTAATCTATCTATTTTTCTTTTGGGAATAAGGCTTGGTTGTTGTTGTTGTTGTTGTTGTTGTATCTATCTATTTTTCTTCCCAAACTAATTATGTAGTAGAGGTCCTTTAGAGTATATTTGTAGCCAGATATTGCAAGCGAAAAAAATTGAGAGGGACGTTAAGAAAAATATAAGGGAAAGTAAAAGTTCAATAAAGCTATTTTATTTATTTATTTATTTGTAGTTACTACTGTATTATACGTAGTATAAAGACTCATTTTATTTATTCATTATTATTACTACTTGCGAAAATTCCCTAAATAGGAGTAAAAAAGTTTTAAAATTCCAAAATAGGACTACCATGTTTTCATTCCTTAAATAGAAGTAATTTCTGCCAAGTTTGGTACTACCAGACTTTAAACATTGCAGTTTTTCCCAAATTTGACTGAAACTACTCCTATTTAGTGAATAAAAACATGAAGATCCTATTTTGGAATTTCAAAGCGTTTTTACTCCTATTCAGGTCAATTTCTATTACTACTTTATTGTATAAAGACTCATTTTCCTTTGTATTTCCCTAGGTAAAACCAGATATGTGAAAAACATTTTCCTTAACACTTTTTCTTTCCATAATATTTTCGAGGTTCCAAATATACCTTTAGTGGTGAACAATGTGTTCAAATATAATGACCTTCAGTTCAAGTATTTGTTCTATGATGTGCTTTTATATATTTCTGCTTCTTTTTTCATGAGTATTTAAGTCCCATGCAGATCTTTGGTGGAATTGTCAATGCTGGAAACTCTAATTTAGATCAAACTGATCTTGCTGATAATGAGTATCCTTTCCAAAGGCATTATTTACTCTGCATAAAGAACTTCCTCATTTCATCAACTGGCAATAAATACTACGTAGTAATATTGAAATTAGTCACCATAGGTCCATAACCAATCCTTTTTGTTTTATGTGCAACACACGGTGCTCTTATTTGGAATGCAGCTGCTTGTTTTCCTGAAACAAAAAAGCTATTTGCTTTTTAACTTCAATGACTATCCAAATGGAATGGTAACACTATTCAATTTGTTGGTGATGGGAAACTGGCAAGTATGGATGCAGGTATTATGATTTTCAGCAATCTTCCCTTCATTACAGCTAACCTGACACTTGCACAAATTATTTTTTCCTAGTACTGTATCTAGGTCAATTTTGTCCTCTAAACCTGTAGTTTCTGTGCAAATGTTTATTAGATGAAATATTTTGTTTGCGAAAAAGCATGATGTGTATTGATTTGATGAAAATATGACGTGGATTAATATTTAAAACCAACTATCAAAACATTTCAGAGCTACAAGGAATTGACCGGGACTTCTTGGAGTTATGTCTACTTCATCAGTTTTTATGCTATCACAGTCTTATGGCTCTTGAATTTGGTGAGTAGTCTTATGCATAGTATTATGCTATCCCAAACTATCAAAAGCTTACTTATTTTTGCATTATTTTGAACTGTTGTAGAAATATTTTCGTATGCATGATAGTTGCCGAAATGTGCAGAGAAAGACGTCAGTTCTGACCTGATTCAGCACATTGTATTCCACACTTTTTGTAGGTCAGAATAAAACAATCCAATAAAAGTTAAAAAAAACTTCTTAGATGGACGGTCTTGGTATTCTTTTGAGAGATTTGCTTATTTAGTTCTGCAACTTATACGTAATAAGTTTGTCACTACGTAGGTTCAAAAAACGGTAACACGTGGTACTTAAATGGAACTTTGGATGGGTTATGAGTAATCGTTAGTGTGGGCAAGCTTATTAATCAGAGGAAAAGATTGGCACTTAATAAAAGTTAATGTATTAACAACAACAGGCGCAGCTGCGCAGGCATAGGTTGCCGGGCCAAGTTACCTTAATTAAGTTAATCTGCCTTGGCGACATAAGTATAGATTGCATCTAGGCTGGCTGTGCACATGTAAAATAACCATTGTGAGTTCGCTACAAATCTGAGCTAAAATGTAAGTTCATTATTCCAGATTGTAGCATTTGTCTTGGAGGCTTTTCAAGCTGAGATGGATATGGAAACTTCAGCAATACTTGAGAATGGCGACAACAAGGTCCGCAGTTGACCAACTTAAGTTTCTTTTATGGTATCACATCTACATTCTTTGCATTTAGTATGCTTAACTGACATGGACTAGTAAAATCCAGGAAACAAGAGAGGAGAGGCGTCGCAATGTTGGGTATGTCTTGCTGATTATCTATATTGCATATTTAAGCATCATTGCATCAACACACACACAGACAATTTTCAGTAAGTATAATCTGAAACTAATCGTTATGTTATACAGCACAAAGACGAGGAGCCAGCGAGTTGATGCATTACTCCATCATATGCTAAGCCCTGAACTCACACAATGCTCCACCCCTTAAATTTTCATTCTTCATCCCCAAGTTTATACTTATCAGTCCACATTAAGACTGAGGTTAGCACACTTTCTTGAATTTCGATGTTAAGTGATTACTCCTATTCAATTTACTGCTACTGATAATGAAAAGTTAAAAATCCTTTGCTTCAGTGGCATGTCTTTTTCCTGTCATCATCCACTGGGAGTGTAGTGTATGGACTAATGTGTGACAGTGTGAGTGGTCTTTTTAGAATCTCTAAAATGCCAGGCAGAATTTAATATGTTATTTCGACTTTTGTTCGTACTTCCCTTCCCCCCTCGGTCTTATACACGTTGATACCTAATTGGTATTGCCAACAATGCAGAAAGCAATGAAAAATGCAGTTTGCACATTCATCATTAAGTAATGTTAAAATATAGTCACCCACCATCCCAGAGTGATAGTCTTATACGGAGTATTTCTTTTATTCTCTCAAAAAGTACTGTTTTTTATCTTGACTCACATTTTTTAAAGAAAGCAACTTAATTATTATTGATAAAAATAACAACAATTACAATCATATAACTCAAGACTACAATGAGATGAGATGTAGAAACAAATGATCCAAATGGAAAACACCGAATCACGCTGTAAAGATGTAGATTCGACTTGTAAATTGACCGCCCTATGACAGATCAAAAAATTGATCTTACAAGCCAATCTGTAGGAAATAAATCATGCATACTGACCCACTCTTTTGTTTAAGCCATCTCTATTAAACTAATCTTTATGGGCAATTTAAATTTTTGTTAACAGGGGTCACTTTTTATACAAGGGTAATCGAGTAAAAAGCTTATTCCACTTTTAAAATTTGGGTTTAAAAAGTGCATTGTAGAGTACTAAAATTAAAGGGAGAACTATCAAATAAGCCCTCGAACTTACATAAAAAGTGCAAATCACCCCTTTTATAGGAGGCCCTGTCTCGCCGTCACCATTTGGGGCGGTTCCCGGTGGAATGTTTTGATGAATTTTTTTGATCTATCTTATTCATTAAGTCTAGTTTATTCATACCAAATTTCAGCTAAAAATTCAATCTGGAAGGCAGTCAAATGAATATTTGAAGATAACTGCGCAATTAGACAGCGCAGTATATTTCAGAAAATCATTTGACTGCCTTATCGGTTGAATTTTTAGCTAAAATTTTGTATGGGTAAACTAGACTTAATGAAGAAGATGCTCAAAAAATTTCATCATAAAATTTCACCGGAAACCGCCCAAAATGGCGACGGCCGGACAGAGCCTCCTATAAAAGGGCTTATTTGTACTTTTTCGTAGTTCTCCCAAAATTAAGATTTCCTCATTTTTTCCCCAGCAAATACCATTTGAACAGCACCATATGGAGACACCTACTCCTTCACGGTTAGGTAAAATGCCAATATCACAATTCACCCAAAGCAGGAACCTTAAACAAGAAACAAGGGGCGCCAACTTGGTAGCCTTCAACTGAGCACGAAATGGGATCGATTTAAAAGTTGTGCATTGTTGCTTGAATGGAAATCCTATCTCCAACATATGAAATAAAGTAACATACACAAAAGCAAGCATAGGATGAACAAGTACCACTACCCACGTATATATGCTTTCTATCACACCTTCTTTATAAACTCACCCTACATCGATCAGTCTGGAAGTATGAACCGCTCACAGTCCTTGGCGCCATATCTTGTAAAAACAGAAACAAGAACATTCGTCATTCTAGTTACAGCTGACTTGAAGTTACATGAGCCACCATTTTCTGGCATATTATTGGCCACAACTCTACCGTTAACAAAAGAACCAACCGGGGCTCCCTCGCTATAGGCTTTACATGCCGACAAGATATCATGAGCATGGATCTTAAAATGACTTGTTATGAGTTCTTCAAAATGCTGGGAGAAAACATCATGGAAATATAGTTAGAAGTATAGACCATAGACAGAGTTCAGTTACATTCTCATTGAGGCTTTCACCTTGTTCAGTAAGAACAGCAAACAGTTATGTTAGAGTCTCACGTTGAAATATTAATGTCAGAAATACGGTTTTACACTGCTGTAAATTTGAGATTAATTAGCAAATCAATTTGTTCATGTGTTTAGCCCAAGTGGTTTATGATTTATGTGCCCAATTGAGTGGCTCCCAACATAGTTCCCAATTCTTTCAAATTCAAACAAGTGAAGAGGCAGATGCAATATCTAGTCAAGAAAATTTCGTAGAGGCAGAAACAACACTTAGTGAAGAGCATTTTACCGTTGGCGGGTGTTTAACTTCACATATCACCAACATAAGTAGTAAATCCGTACCCAGGCTCGTTGAAGAATGGGTTTGCATTCAAAACTAATCCCTGTATAGAGACCAATACTTGCAGCATGGTTGATTTATTTGGCTGCCAATTCTCACTACTGTCACCAGTCCACGTGTTGAGAAGGCTGAGCAGACTTTACCGCAGGCGTAAAGGTTAGGATTCATACTCAATCCAGCAGTTTTAAAGTGAAACATCTTGAAACACAGAAAATATTTAAACATGTTTTTAGCATCATCAATAAAATAAAAATAAAAGGCATGAATATACATGATCATCGAAATACATACCGGTGGTTTATCTGGGTATGTGGGAGGGAAAATGGCATCGAAGACAAAAATACCATCATGATAGGGAGGGAGTGCCTTGAGGTCCAACAATGATTGCCCTTAGCAGATCCATCCTTGTTTCACATATATTTCACCTGTAATTGACATTTCAATATTTCAACGTGCAACATTGTCTATTTCAACCTTTGACCAGGCCTTAGGCAGCTTTTGATAGAAACACCGGAAATGATGAAAATCATCACATGACTAATAATACTAAGGTCACATTTGGTTACATCAATCGGCTTATTTTGGTTATCAGCAAAATATCAAAATAACTTAATTGCCGGAGGGAAGAGGGAGATGTCCGAGTTCAATTCCAGGCAAAGACTTAGACTAGAACTACACTCTCTCCACTAATATGTAATCAAAGCTCAATTTGCATCCTTTCTGATAAATGTTTGGCGGGTCCTAGATGGACCTAAGGGATGGGTGTCATCCTTTTTTTTTTAATTACTTAGTTGGCTAAAATCAATTATGCCAAACACCTTTAAGGAAATTGCACGCCTTTGGTCATTTGAGTCACTTCAACCGAGTAACCCTCACTTCATTTGACTCCTAATATCCTCCTGGTTGATGAGCAAAAAATAAATACAATAAGAGATATGAAATGATTCGATGTGATGCACATTTTTCATGGCGTGACAACAAAAGTTCAATTTATTCACAAAATAGTCGAAGCATTTGTTGTTTGGTGGTACACATTTACACAAATCTCAAATGTAAGACACAAAATTCATTCTCATTCCTCTACCTACCTCACATCTCATCTGTATCAAATTATACCACATATGCATATAGGTAAGAGATCAAATACAAATCCCTCCTAATTTACAAACTACAAACTCATCTTGGTCATCCACAGGGGCGGATCCAGGATCGAGAGATGGGGTGGGCTAAGCAGAAGTAATTTTTTTTACTATACATACCAAATTTAGCCCAGGGTTGTTATCGAACAAAGATTTTTTTGAATTATATACTCGAGTTCGAGCTTGATTTCGAATCTAATTTAATGAATTGAGTTTAACAAGTTTCGAACTCGAACACGGAGTAGGTTTTGAGTTTGAATAATTATTCAAACCGAGATCGAACATAGTGATGTTTCGATCCGAACACGAGCCTATCGTTCACATATAAATTATACTATTGTACATATCATAAAATTTAAACGTTTTAGTGCAATTTTTATAAATTTATTAATGATTAATAAAAATTTGAATACTTATTGAATAATTTGAACATGAATCTATTAACGAGCATGTCTATCGAGCATTGAAATCCAAATTTGAGATAGTTTGGATTTCAGGGACTACAGCATGTGGAGGATCCTCATTGACTAGATCTTGCACTGTTGTAGGTATAGGTTCAGAACTCCCTTCACCAGTTTGAAGATTCACTTTCGAAAAGAATGATGAAATCAACTTCTTTCCCTTCTTGGCAACATGTTCATTATCCATTCTAAAAAACATTTTCAATATTGGTATATATTAAAATACTTATATATAAAAAATAAAACTATTTAATTATGTACTGAAAAATTCAATTAATAATCAAAACGATTGTATGATTCCCTAGCCCTAAAACTCTAAAATGCTAAAAATAATAATAATTAATACATTAATAGTTTAATACACAATCGGTTAATCACAGTTTACAAATTCACGGCAGAAGTTCATAACTTCACTGATTCACAAATTATTTGTGGGGTGGGCTGACAAATAATTTAGGCTGGGCTGAGATTTGAAAATGTACTGATACTATTAAATAAATAAAAAATTGGGCTGGGCTGAAGCCCACCCCTGGCCTAGCATACATCCGCCCCCGGTCATCCAATGAATTTGTGTAAAGGTTATCAAGGCAAGGTCGCATTTTTGTAATAAAATCCAACTTTTTTAGGATGCAACTCTTTGAACTTTAATATGCAACTGCTGTTTTATGGCTGAATAATATGCAACACTTAGAACCTTATTATGCAATACAATTAACATAAAGATGCATTTTTGTAACAAAACCCAACTTTTTTAGGATGCAACTCTTTATGTGAAAATATGCACATGTAAGGTGATGATGATAAGAGTAAATAGTAAGGTAAGTGCATTGATCAATAATGTCACATGCTCACGTCTTTGTTGAAGTTGATTCCTTCAACATAATACAAATCCTTTGGGTTGTTTTAGCTTGATTATTTTTAATGAAATGCAATTAAGTGAGAAGAATTATCTGTTATAGGATTGACGTACATTGTAATACACTCTCACCTCTTATCTACTCGATTACACTTATGTAAATCTCACTCACTGGCTCTATTCCTATAGTGAAGAGGGAGAATAAATGTTCCCGTCCAATGCTAGTTAACCCCTTAAATATAATAAAAGGGTGGCATTTATAATCCTAGGAAGGATATAGACGGTTGGCATGCATGACCATTTTCTCATTCGCTGGTTGTACTTCACATTCAAAATATTTTTTGGATGCATTATAGACTCTTAGTGCCATCTCTCGCCAAAAGGGTGTGCTAGTCAATGGAAGGGCCCTGCTCGGTGTAGAAGTGGTAACCATGCGAACATGATGTACATTGCTTGTTTTTTGTCATGATCGTACCATATATCATTTCAGTTCCTCAAAGTCAAAAATTAAAAAGCATTTTTAATTTTTTTTTTTTGCAAACACACCCTAACCAAATAAGGGGGAGGAAGGTTGGGCTCCCTCCAACCACGCCTTTGAATTCCCTTCAACTTAGGAGAACAGTACTGTTGTACTGGTATAATAAATGTTACTCCGTACTATATATGAGCTTCATTCAAGAGAATGGTACTTATATAGCAATGTTATTTATATAAATGACATCAAGAGATTAGGCTAGCAACCTTTTCAGGGTGTTATTAAGGGTTAGATTTAATTCATTTTTTCTCATCGTGCTCCGGTGCATTTTTTAAAATGATTTGGGGAGTCAATCACATGCATTCACTCAACTTATGGTATACTTAGAAAAGTGAAACTGCGCATGCCTTCTAGGCCCCTCAAGTGATGCACATGGTTTAACAACCATGCCATATTCCCATAATAGATTCTGTTGTGCAAAATAAGCAATTAATAATGCATGCGCTTCAAATGGCGGTCATTCATGTATTGTAAGTGAATTACTTGGAACATGTTCATTAGCTTGAACATTCTTTTTACTAAAAAGACCCTTTACCAAATCATGACTTAATTAACAGTGCTCAAATCACTTAATTAGTCAAAGTAAACACATTTATTGACATTCTAAATTTATTTTTACAGGTATTCTACTCGTTCTTAAAAACATGCAAGTCATTACATTTTAATCAAACTAGTATGGTACCCGTGGGATGCACGGTGGGTGATTATTTCAAAATAAGTGTACATTACTCTTATTATAAAAATGTAAGACAAAAAGAAATTGTTAAATAACATGAGGTGAGTTAAGAAATGAATGTGATAGATCAACAATACAAAATGGATTAAAGTTGAGGCGAAATGGATATAATGAACATCAGGTTTTGTAGAGCGTAATTAAGAATGCATACAAAGCACTTCTTTATTGACCATATTATATTGGTGACCTCTTCTACGTGCTCTTTCATCATCACAGTGAATAAATCACCTATGCGATGCACGGGGGAATTCACGGGGATATTTTGTTCCAAAATTACTTCCAAAGAGTGATATTAAAGCTATAAGAAAAGAATTAGCACCAGTACGTGATATCACAAAAACATTGTATAGACCCCGTAGTAATTGCAGAGTACACATAATAAGTGATACAAATGGAATAATTTGCCATTAATAAATAATAAATAATAACATATATTAGAAAATCAAATGTAAAATTATCTCAGAATGTGATACCTCGTCATCTAATAGCCCAAGAGCATAGCAAGCTTCACGGTTGAGCTCCACACAGAGTTGTGACCTCCACACGGTCGATGCGGGATTCTATCATTGGTCATTTATCTAACTTTCCCACCGCTTTACCAGTTGAGCTAACCGTGAGGGTAATACGAAATATAAAAATGCCTTCAGCACGAATTGAACCTGTGTCATTCACTTGACCAAATGTAACCTATCAACGGCAGCTTCTTATTTTGACCAAATGCAACACCAACAACCATTTTTTACCAAATACTCCAACTTTAACTCTTATATAAAAACACTTTTATTCTAAAAACTATCAACTTTTACTAATAATCACTTTCTCCAAAAATCACTTTTTATTACACTCCCTTAGCCTTAGCCGGCTGACCTCAGATGTGTATATACACCTAAGGATACTTCTGCTTTGTCAATTGTTTGTCGATGATGTATAGACTCAAGCTTAGAGATCAGACTCTTCTTTATTTTTTATCGATCTAAATCGATTTCCTCACTGCAAATAATTGATTCGTCACCGATTATATTCATCGATTGCCTCCAATTACTACTTTGGTTGGTTCATGAAGTTTCACCGGAAAATACCACTTGGCTTTACGATTACTTGGTCAAAGATATTCCTATCCCTGGCATGAATTTTTCGGGTTTGGGACGATCGTTGTTCCACACTTTTCCTATGGCTACCTATATTTTTTTATATTCACACTCACATTTGAAATCCAAAAAGGAAGATTAATGTGACTTGATTAGTTCCTTCATATATATTAAAAACTTTTTGTTGTTTCAAACTCCATAAATGTATTTTCTTTTTTCTCCTTCATAATAAAGTTCAACTTTAAGATACAAATCAAACCCCTTAATTAAATGTTAAGACATGTGTTAATTAGTATAAAAACTAATAAAATTACTCCCATAAAAGTATGATGTCTTTTATTTAATATAATCCTATAGATTCAAACATATTTCCCTCCAACTTTCAAAAATCTATTGATACTATATACCACCATTAAAGATTCACAATTTATGATTTCATATTTTTACTGATCTAATATTATATGTCATATAAACTTTTAATATGAAAATAAATAATAATCCTCTTGTTCTAATTTTAAGTTTGTAGTTTCATACTTATATGTTATGCATCTCATATTAAGGTTCCCTAACCAGCTCTCCTTAAAAAAGGTACACTAACTTTATCATTATTATTTTTAAATAAAAACACGCTCATAATAACACCATCATCCACTATATATATATATA